CTGGATGGTGTGCTTGAGCTCCGTGGAAATGGCGTCCATCTCAGTGGGCAAAGTGATCTTCATGATATTCCTGGCGCCCAACTTCTATCTTCGATGGTTTTTTTGGGCAGAAGCCTTTTTTTAGAATGTATAATATTTTTTTTAGATCATATTCCAAATCCCATCCAAACACAAATAAAGCATAGATGGTATAGATTCTTAGGTTTTAACCACATTAAACGATGACCAGGGAGGTGTCCTGTGAGTTTCGCTGCTTCGCTGGAGTGTTCCATGCTGGATTCTGTTGAAAAAAATATGTTGCTTGAGCAATAATAAATGACCATTTCAATCCCAGTCATGTTGAATCCTCATTCTGCCGTTGGTTTCAAACCTTTCTGCTGACGCACCGGTCGCCGTCCCAGCGCCACGAGGCCGTCCTTTGGCCGCTGTCCACCACCACTTCCTCCGGATCGCAGCCCACGATGCCGTTGCAGCGCGCGTTGTAGAAGGCATCCGCAATGCAGCTAGCCATGCAGGTGGAGGTGCCTGGCCCCCAAAGAAAAAAGCTGACCACAGGTGGGAAACTTGGTTGTGGCAACGCCTAATAGATCAAATGTATTCAAATGTGGGTTCACAACAGGAAGCAGCCAATATAAAGCTTCATGGGGGTTTACCCATGTTGGCTGAGTGGAGTTGATTGGGGCCCGTGGGGCTGCCGTTGGCCTTTAAACACCTGGAGGGATCACAACTCACAAATCTCAGCCACCGGGCCGACGTTCCACACCGTCAGGGGCCACATGTACATCCGGATCAAGCACTGGCGGAGGTGATTTGGGAGCAGCTCAAAATGAAGCAGGTATTTGAAAATTCCATAAGATTCCCATTTTCAACGGGGAGACTTCCATTGGCATGCTTATTTACCTTACCAATATATTGCATCATTGTCGGTGATTTATACTGTCAGAAACCAATATATCAAGCCGAATGTGGGTAGCGGGCACCATGTTTGCCCCTTGAATCAGCATGACACCTCAGCAAACTGCTGAGATGACTAACTGGTCTGTTTAGATCCATGGGTGAAGTCTGCGACTCAAGGAAATAATAAATGGAAATAATTTGAGCATATTTGAGTGACTCAATAAACTGAGGGGAGAAACCTCTGGTAACTCTTGTGCTTCTGATTGTACCTCCCTTTGTGGCTTTGAAACTGCAGTCAATCAGATTAGCCCGTGTAGCACTGCTTGAAATTCCACTCCAGGGCTAAAAGTACCCACGTGTGTGTGCAGCTTCTGCCAATGCAACTTTCTTCCAAGCAACAATTCAATGTTCCACCAATCAAGGCCCAAATAAACAGCATCAACATGCTATTTGACGTTCCAGTGGTTGCCATTCCCCCGAAACTACAGTTATGAGATTTTCTGAGCCACAGAGGATGTGTGAGCAATTGTTATTGTTTGCTGATTTTTCTGTTTTTTTGGTATTCGGATTTTGCATGTTTTTCATGTTTTTTTCTGATTTGTTTGCATTTGTTTTTCTTTAGTTTGTTTGGTTTTGTCATTGTTTTTGTTTCATTGTGCTATTCTTGTTTGTGTTTGTTTTGTTTTTGCCTCTTCATTATCTCTTAGTTCCAGCAGGATAGGGATCACTTATAGGAAATAATTGCATTGCACCCTTTTTAATTATAGAGCGGCTCAAATCCAATTTCCCAAGGCCACAGGAAATTACATCAAAGATTTGGGTCGCCAAGGACGCCTCGCACAGAAACAGCGGCCCCTAGCCAGAGGGGAAAAGAACAACAGAAAGAACACAAAAAAATCGAAAAAAAAACACCAAAAGAACGCCAAAATCACACCAAAAAAACGCAAAAAAAAACGAGGTTTTCTTGATTTTCCAAAATTTTGTTTTTTTAAAGGCTGGTTCGAGGTGGCCCCGTTTTTTTCTCAATTTTTCCGTGTTTTTTTTCGTATTTTTCTCTTCCAATAGTGGGGGTCTGTATCTCATCTTCTCATCTTCACATCTTCTCATCTTCACATCTTCTCATTTTCACATCTTCTCATCTTCAAATCTTCTCGTCTTCACATCTTCTCATCTTCACATCTTCTCATCTTCACATCTTCTCATCTTCACACCTCCTCATTTTCACCTTCTCATTTTCACATCTTCTCATCTTCACATTTTCGCATCTTCACATCTTCTCATCTTCACATCTGCTCATCTTCACATCTTCACATCTTCACATCTGCTCATCTTCACATCTTCACATCTTCACATCTGCTCATCTTCACATCTTCTCATCTTGCCCTCTTGCCATCTTGCCCTCTTAACCTCTCCTTCTTTTCTATTTCTCTTCTGAAGGCGGGGGCAGGGGCAGTGCCACCGAGACGGCACGAAACGTAACCCTTTCGAACGAAACGAGGTTCGATCGTCAAAAACTGCGAAAGTGCGAGTTCAACTTGTCCCGCGCAACCCTTTCGCACCGAGGTTCGATCGTCAAAAACTAAGGTAAAATTGCGAGTTCAAGTTGTCCCGCGCAACCCTTTCGCACGAAACGAGGTTCGATCGGCAAAAACTGAGGTAAAATTGCGATTTCAACTTGTCCCGCACAACTCTTTCGCACGAAACGAGGTTCGATCGCCAAAAACTGAAGTAAAAGTGCGAGTTCAACTTGTCCGGCGCAACCCTTTCGCACGAAACGAGGTTCGATCGTCAAAAACTGAAGTGAAAGTGCGAGTTCAGGTGTCCCGCGAAGCCTTTCGCACCAAATGAGGTTCGATCGTCAAAAGCTGAAGTAAAATTGCGATTTCAAGTCGTCCCGCACAACTCTTTCGCACGAAATGAGGTTCGATCGCAAAAAACTGAGGTAAAATTGCGATTTCAAGTTGCTCCGCGCAACCCTTTCGCACGAAACGAGGTTCGATCGTCAAAAAGTGTGTAAAAGCTTTTGTGTGCAAAAGTGCCTGTGTGTCAAAGTGTTTGTGTGTAAAAGCGTCTGTGTGTAAAAGTGTCTGTGTGTAAAAGCGTCTGTGTGTAAACGCGTCTGTGTGTAAAAGCGTCTCTGTGTAAAAGCGTCTGTGTGTAAAAGTGTTAGTGTGTAAAAGCGTCTGTGTGTAAAAGTTTTTGTGTGTAAAAGCTCCTGTGTGTAAAAGGGTCTGGGTGTAAAAGTGTCTGTGTGTAAAAGCTTCTGTGTGTAAAAGCGCCTGTGTGTAAAAGCGTCTATGTGTAAAAGCGTCTGTGTGTAAAAGCTTCTGTTTCTGTTTGTAAAAGCTTGTGTGGCTAAAAGCTCTTGTGTGTAAAAGTGTTTGTGTGTAAAAGTGTCTGTGTGTAAAAGTGTCTGTGCGTAAAAGTGTCCGTGTGTACAAGCGTCTGTGTGTAAAAGCGTCTGTGTGTGAAAGTATGTAAAAGCTTCTGTGTGTGTGAAAGCTTTTGTGTGTAAAAGCTTCTGTGTGTAAAAGCTTCTGTATGTAAAAGCTTTTGTGTGTAAAAGTGTCTGTGTGTAAAAGCTTTTGTGTGTAAAAGTGTTTGCGATGCAAACTATTTTCTTGTACTTGTGCTATATTGTCTTGATACTCCTCTTCTCGACTGCCTATAACACATCTTTAATATATTGTTTTGTAATATGGTGTCTCCATACTAACAAGAGAAGACCCTGCTCCTCTACGCTCTCGGGCCATCCATCGTCTAGTTTTTTCGTATTTTTTTGTGGTCGTTTTTCCCTTCTGCGTTGGGGTCCAGTTTTCTTCCTATTTCTTTCGTGTTCATCTTCCCCTTTTGCATTGGGGTTCTGTTTGGACCAGAGGACCCGAAATCGAATGTCTTGTATTCTCTATTCTTGCAAGAATGCTTTGCAGACATGTTTTGTCGTAATATTGAAAAACCTGGGTTGGAGAAGTGGGGCAACACATCAGACAAGGCATGGCAACCAGAAGAGAACAAAAGGCGAAACAAAAAACAACATCCACAAACAGTGAAAAAGAAGAGAAAAAATAACAGGAACAAAGCATTAAAAAAATCAGGAAAAAACAGGAAAACAGAACAAGAAAAACACAGAAAAAACACGAAACAATGACAATAAAAAATCTTGGCCTCTGGCTAGTAAAAAATATCATAAAGCTACAGCCTGCTACAGCTCAATTTTTGGTAGCTGTCAACCATTGTTCACATTTTATGCAGGTCAACTTCAACATCCTGGACCTTCCGGTTTTCCAACAATATCTGGAGCAAAATGAAGCTCAATGAAGCTTCAAGACTCTTCCATAATCTATAACCTATTATTAGTCAACCATCAGTAGACCTGCTAGTCACTTTTTGGGAAGAGACATTGCTAAAGTTCACAAGCATCTCAGCGCCTGGTTCACAATGTTGTTCCGCGCTTCGACACCGGCGCGCAGACGGAACTGAGCGGGGCGAATGGGCGGTCCACCAGACTAGTTCATGTCGAGCATGGCAGCGCTACTCTATTATACTTGGAGGGTCATCCCACTTAGTAACTGGTTAATGATCGTATTCATAACCCAGTTATGTATGGGATAACCCCATTTAGGGGACTTACAAACTAGGGTTTTAAAAACACAGAGTAAGTGGAATGATCCACAACGTAGCTACAGATAGCTAAGGGCTCTGGCTCGTAAATCATCCCAATGCAATACCCTCTAGTAAGCTAACCTGACAATGGAACATCTCACATGTATATATGTGAGATTTCCACGTTTGTCCATGAAAAAAGCTGGATTGTCCGATTTTCCGAGCCAGGTTGGATTCCGACATGTTCATCCTTTGTCAGCAGCCTGTAAGATGTTCAGGCTTGACAAACTCACCACCCTAGAAAAGGCTGTGACGCTGTGACCTTCTGGATCTCTGGGACAGCTATTTTTCACGGAGAATATTAGGATAGCAAATGGAATTGGATTATATCATAGTATCTTAGTATATCCATTGAAAATTGGCATAGAGTAGGGATTATTGCAGATTATAGCCACTTACAGACTTACAGACCATCTTGTGGCTAAAACGGTAAAACCACTTACCACGTACCGGAACTGCATGCTTCATCCAAACATGCGCAATCCAAGTGACTCCATCCATCGGATTGCCACGCTGAAGTGTGAAACCATCCTGGCGAAGTCCGGCTTCGAAGAAAGTGCCTGGTATGAAGTAATAGATCCAGTTTAAAGAAAAACAGAAATCAAACATTTGACATCTCAACCAGGCTATAGTTGTTGATGTGACATGGTGTGATGTGATACATGCATTCTCACTGAGGACTGAATTTCATAACTAATACATTACACCAATAAAAAATCAATTTCAACTGGCATGCAACTGCCAGCGACTCAGGGGCAATGAGACTACAATCTGGAAAATCCCCCATTGGTGATCCTTGACCCAAGTTTTTATAATTGTTTATCCATATTCTTCTGATATTCTTCCGATGAAACATTGGGATTTCCCATGTCCTGCAAGGCGACCTGCGGCTCGGAGGCTGTTGCAGGCACAGCTGTGCCCTGTGAAGCCTCGGCCCGGGAAATGCCAAATCAGCCAATGATGACTGGCCATGATTGGGTATGGTATGGTTTAGAATAAAGGAGAATCAACGCCAAATCCTGGAAAGAACTAGTGGTAACTAGTGATCTAAGTAGGCAATTAAAGCATATTATAGCATATAATACCTCTGTGTACATTCCTTGCTGGTCAAACTGTCTTGGAGTCACGTTTTGGGGCTCCACTGGGCTCCATGAATTGAAATGGGGATGAAATGCATGAAATGCCCCCCAGTCCATCCAGAGGCCAGGAGCAGCAAAACAACGACCACAGTAGAGCATTGGAAACGACATCTATGTGACCCAGAAATGAAAGAGGGGCAAAGATGGGCAATCTCAGTCTGTTTGATGGTTAAACCTCATATATATATAGTACATATATATATATATGTAATACATACTTATAATACATATATATATATATAATACATGTATATATATATAATACATAAATATATATAATACACAGATATATATATATATATATATTATACGTATAGATATATATAAAATACATGTATATATACATAAAATACATATATTATAATACACATATTTAAAATACATATATATATATATAGTACATATATATAATACAAATATATAATACAGATGTTAAAATACATACATATATATATATATACATATAATACGTATATAAATAATACATATATATATATAATACGTATAAATATATATATACAGTACATTTACATATAATACATACATATATATAATACCATATATATCTATACAAATATAATCAACATATATATATGTACGATATACACATCGTTTATTTTATGCAGTTTTAGCCCATTTCATGCTTGGTTCAAAGATGTTCAAACTCCAAAACCTACAAAAATCAATGTTCAACAGCAATTGTTGAACCATTGACAGTCGAGAAAACGTATGTATCAGCCCAGCCAGGGGGGTGGCCATGTGGCCCTATCAGCCTTCAACCACATTGTTCCAAACATACTTTGGGTGGCCTTTCTGACTTTTTCAACCAACCCAAACCTCCACATAACAACCCCCCTCACCTCCATTACTGGATACAGATCTCCACAACCCCCTTAGATATCATGTAATGGTATTTGATATATATATATTAAAAAATGGAAAATTGAATAGAATGGCATACAATAGAACTGAACCTCAAAACTCCTCAGGAACCCACCTTAAAGGCCCAGGTCGCGATGCAAAGCCCCTGGCACGAGGGACTTTGTGTAATCTCCAGGTCCCTCGTGCCGGGGTCCGACAGGAGGTCTTGCTCGATGAGCCTGGGCGACCAGCCACAGAGAAATACCCACACAAATGGACCCCTGGAAAATGAAAATGTTTCAAACAACCAACCAGACATGTTATGTTGGTTGGCACATAGTCCAAACGGTTCGCGAATGCATCTGCATCATCATCATCATCACCACCGTCGTCACCATCAAAAGAACACCAGCATCCGCGTGCACAACTGAGTTGGTTTCTCGCGTGCACAACCGAGCCCCAAACAGCTCTGCCGACTTCAAGGGGTCTGCCGCACGTGCGGCAGACCCCTTCCAAGCGGTTGGCCTTGCAAAAAAACAAGTGCTGAACGGGGAGAGACCAATCGGTCAGTTTCTGAGCACTACGACAATTTGACATTTTGTGCGTCAGAGAATTTGGGGATTTTCGGAAACTTTTGAGGTTTCTTCCCAAAAAAGTGGCTTTGATGCTGCTCTAAGGCCTAGACTTCCTCCTGAGACAGCCATGTGTCGCAGTTCTGGCAGTATGCCACTGCCTGTCAGATTTTCGAGCGAAATTCTTACTCTGGTGCTCCTATAGAGTTATAGAGTTATAAGTAGTTATATAATTTTAGTGATACAAAAAGTTATGAAAGGTTATGAAGTGAAGCAAATATCAACTATTTTGTCACATTTTTAAAATTTAGAAAAATTGAAAAAACATTTGTTTTTATTGTATCGAAACGACATCTATGTGACCCAGAAATGAAAGAGGGGCAAAGATGGGCAATCTCAGTCTGTTTGATGGTTAAACCTCATATATATATATATAGAACATATATATATAGTACATATATATATAGTACATATATATATATATAGTACATATATATATATAATACATACTTATAATACATACATATATAATACATGTATATATATAATACATACTTATATATAATACACAGATATATATTTATATTATACATATAGATATATATATAAAATACATGTATATATACATAAAATACATAAATTGTAATACACATATATAAAATATATGTATAGTACATATATATATATATATAAGACAAATATATAATACAGATATCAAAATACATATATATATATATGTATATAAAATACGTATAAAAATAATATATATATAATACGTATAAAAATAATATATATATATACATATATACATATATAATACGTATAAAAATTATATATATATATATAATACGTATATAATACATATACATATAATACATACATATATATAATACCATATATATATATATATTATTAACATATATATATGTGTGTGTACGATATACACATCGTTTATTTTATGCAGTTTTAGCCCATTTCATGCTTGGTTCAAAGATGTTCAAACTCCAAAACCTACAAAAATCAATGTTCAACAGCAATTGTTGAACCATTGACAGTCGAGAAAACGTATGTATCAGCCCAGCCAGGGGGGTGGCCATGTGGCCCTATCAGCCTTCAACCACATTGTTCCAAACATACTTTGGGTGGCCTTTCTTCTGACTTTTTCAACCAACCCAAACCTCCACATAACAACCCCCCTCACCTCCATTACTGGATACAGATATCCACAACCCCCTTAGATATCATGTAATGGTATTTGATATATATATATATATTAAAAAATGGAAAATTGAATAGAATGGCATACAATAGAACTGAACCTCCATACTCCTCAGGAACCCACCTTAAAGGCCCAGGTCTCGATACAAAGACCCCGGCACGAGGGACCTTGTGTAAGGTCCCTCCTGCCGGGGTCCGACAGGAGGTCTTGCTCGATGAGCCTGGACAACCAGCCACAGAGAAATACCCACACAAATGGATGAAATATTCGAACTCTTTCTATCCGGTACAACTCCCTCGCCCTCAAAGCTGGTGCATTAGCCCCAATGGACGAAAAAAATCGAACTGCCAACATCACTTTTGCTAGCACGTGCGCTGAACATTGAGATTTTGGGGGTGCGGGGGTTCAACATAATTTTGCTGGAAGGTTTGAATATTTTGTCCATCTACTGTCGCGCTCTCTGATGTTTTCACATCTTTTGGTATCCAAATTTCTGCAGTGGAAACACCTTTCTGCATGCACAGGTCAATGAAGGTCAATGTAACCTGTCTGTCTCCCGTCCCATTTTTCCTTTTCCTTGATGTGCAATGTATTGCAAAATGAGCAAAACATTACCTTTTCAGAAGTAAATGTCGCCTGTGTGTCTCCGGTCCCACTTTTTATATTCCCTACGCACGCCAAAATGCGTAGGGATATGGTCTTTTCAAAGGTAAAAGCTGCATGCGTCTCGTCCCATGTTTCCTCTCATTCGCAACCCATTCCAAGATGCAGCAGATATTGTCTTTTTCAGGTAAATGCTGCACGTGTGGCCTTTCTCGTGTTTCTCCACTCCCTACTTCACGGTGGAGGAATGGAAAGTCCTGTATTTTTCCAATTCCATTTGTCCATGGTGATGGAATGTCCTGTGTTTTTCCAGTTCCATTTGTCCATCCCAGTTCCCTTCCAGTTCCTTTTACAGTTCCTTTTCCAATTCCTTTCCAATTTTCCTTTTTGCGGATTTCTTATGTTTCCCCAAAAAGTGCGTCCACACATGTGCACACTGACGAGTTCTTACGGTAAGTGTAAAGGCCGGTGCTTGATATAGGTGCTCACTCTGGTCCCCGGCATTTTACCTGCAAATTGCCGTATAAAGTGGCTCTTGTCCAATCTTGACATGCGTTTCGACTGCGCAGGCTCGCACAAAGTCTGCGGCGCAGTTTTAGGCCGCGGCATTTTTCCTGTAAATTTCAGCAAAAAGTTGCTCTTGTGAAATCTTGACATGCGTTTCGACTGCACAGGCTCGCACAAAGTCTGCGACGCGGTTTTGGTCCGCAGCATTTTTCCTGTAATCTTCCGTATAAAGTGGCTCTTGTGAAATCTTGGCTGCGTTTCGACTGCGCAGGCTCGCACGAAGTGTTCGTCTGCGTTCTAGACTCGTCCTGGGGCGCGGCATTTTCCCTGTAAATTTCCGTATCAAGTGGCTCTTGTGAAATCTTGACATGCATTTCGACAACACAGGCTCGCACGACATGTATGTCTGCGTTCTGGGCTGTCCGCCTTCTCGGCTCATTCTGGGATGCGCGCAGCCTCGCACAAAGTGTTTCTCTGCGTTCTACTTCTGGTCTTCTCTTGTCACGTCGTCTCTTCGCCTGTTGCCAAAGCCATCTACGCCATATGCTGTTTCGGCTTGCATTGTCTTTGGAGCATTGTCTCACGCATGATCCAACTCACAAAAACGGAAATAGGAGAATCTTGACTTGACATGTGTTTCGACTGCGCAGGCTCGGACAAAGTCTGCGGCGCGGTTTTGGTCCGCAGCATTCTTCCTGTAATTTTCCGTATAAAGATGCTCTTGTGAAATCTTAACATGCGTTTCGACTGCGCGGGCTCCCACAAAGTGTGTGTGTGTGTGTGCCCGCGTTCTGGACTCATTCTGGGACGCGGCATTTTATTTGAAATGTCTATAAAGTGGCTCTTGTGAAATCTTGACATGCGTTTCGACTGCGCAGGCTCGCACAAACCGTGCGGCGCGGTCTTGTGATCGGTCTCCTCCTCCTCAGTATCATCATCTTCCTCCTCCCCATCTTCCACATCCATCATTCTCAACATCATCCTCTTCCTCCCCCTTGACATCATCATCCTCAACCTCCTCATCATCCTCCACATCATCACCCTACATCTCATCGTCCTCAACATCATTTCCTCAACATCATCGTCCTCAACCTCCTATCCTCAAGATCACCGTCATCATCACCATGACCATCACCACCATCATCATCATCATCATCATCATCCTCAACATCATCGTCATCATCATCATCGTCATCATCATCTTCATTATCATCATCACCATCATCCACATTATCATACATTATCTTCCCACTCCCCCACACTGTTTGGGGTCTCTTACCGGGATAAATTCCTAGGGTGTGTGTTGCGATCCTTCTATTTTGGAAACAAAGTGAAATTGAACAGAAGGATGGCAACACAAACCCTGGAAAAACACAGGAAATCCGCAAAAGGAACTGGATGGGACCTGGGACGGACAAATCGAACTGGAAAACAAAGGACATTCCATCACCGTGGACACATGGACATGGAAAAATACAAGGCTTTAGCTGCTACGACGGAAGAGAAAAAAAATCCAGGGGAGACACACAAGCTGCATATTGGGACACAGGTTGCATGTTCCTCTGAAAAGGTAATGTTTTGCACATCTTGCAATAAGTTGCACGTCAAGGAAAAGGAAAAATGGGAGGGGAGACAGACAGGTTGCATTGACCTGTGAAAAGGTAATGTGTTGCGCAGTTTGGAATAAGATCAGCAGCATGCAGAAAGGTGTTTCCAAAGTAGAAGACTGGATGTCAAAAGATGTGGAAACATCAGAGAGCGAGACGGTACCAACTGGGGTGTGCGGCATGCTACCGTAGATGGACAAAATATTCGAACCCCTTCTATCCGATACAACCCCCTCGCCCCCAAAGCTCATTGTTAATGTAACCTGAGGTGCATTAGCCCCAATGGACGAAAGAAATCAAACTGCCAACATCACTTTTGCTAACCCTTGCGCAAAAATTAAGAGATTTGGGGGCGCGGGGGTTCAACATAGTGTTTGCTGGAGGATTTGCATATTTTGTCCATCTACTGTAGGTACCCTGAAACAGCTGGCTAATTGATGTTTATTCCCCCAACATGGTAATAGTAGGCTTTATTTGACCCATCCCCATGTTGCTTGATTGACCTGCCTGCGGCCTATGCTCGAAACCTGTTCCGCACTCGCAGACGCCGGCCGTCCTATCTGCCTTGGGGGGACAAGTGCTGAAAGGGGAAAGACCCATCGGTCAGTTTCTAAGCACTACGACAATTTGACATTTTGTGCTTCAGAAAAAATTGGTGATTTTCGGAGACTTTTTGACGTTTCTTCCCATGGTTCCAAAAAAAGTGGGTTTGGTGTTGTCAAAAGAAACAA